AATATCCAAAAACTTCTGCACAATAATTTATTATTAACAGTTTGATCAATAGGCACAATATCGATTAAAGTAGAAGAATATCAAGTGAAATTGAAGATCATAGAGATCATTTTAGAACTCCTCTAAGAATGGGAAATGTGGGTGATCACCATCGCGAGCTGTAAGGTTGACAATTCGCCAGCCGCGATCCAATGCTTCGATTTCCTTCATTTCAGCATCCGTCAGCTTGAAGTCAAACAATGCGCATTCTCTTTGATGCGAGCTAAAATGAAGAAAAAATGCTACGAAAATAAGCTATTTCGAAGCATTGGCGTCAAATCAAATGTGTCCCACGATACGTATTGATGTGTCCAATGTATCGCATTCAATGCTGATTCGGATCTGTTTTTATCCGTCTGCGCTCTAACCTGACAGGGATATGTCACAAAGTCCATGTAGTCTTGCCGCGAGATGCTAGAACGCAGGCTGTTGGAGGGCCGCCTGTGCTGCAGGGGACTGCGCCTCGCGTACTGGACTTACTTGGAGGGCAGCTGCACCTCACCTACAGTTCAGGCAGAAGAACGCAGAGGAATGCCGAAAACTGACGCGGTCTGGATTGAAAAACTGACACTAGGTAACCGACGGGGTACCCCAGACGCACATTAGGAAGCGGAGGAGTCGCAGCGCGTATTATTGCGATTTTGCGCCAGATTAAAAATGTACTATAGCATCCCCCTCCCATATCGCACATAAGCGCTGCGACTCGTCCGCTGTCGTGGTTGAGTCTCTACCTTCTCGCCGCGCAACGGGCTTCCTGTCAGAAACACGCGTTTATACTCTGCGAAGGCCGAGAGCTGATGGTTGGCAATTTTACTATACCACTCTGCGTCTTCACCGTGCACACACTCTCTCGCTTTCCTTGTCTTGGTTGAGACGATTTCGTCCTGCGTGTGAAGGCGCGGCGTTCTAGTCTAGCTTTCAGTTCAGCTAGTACAGTTACAGTTTGCCTTCGAAGGTTGAGGAAAGGAGCAGAAAGGTGCAAAGGAAGCGATTTGCCCGCTTAATTTAGTTGGTAATTCGGACGAGTCGTGTCGCCAGCAGCGGCTCGAACTGCAGTAACTGGAGCATGGGTTGGCATGGTATCACCGAACGCGTTGCGGT